ATATATATTATAGTTTACCTAAATTGTCCTTATTTCTATTACCAGATAATTTTTTTGGGTCTTTTTTAAAGAATAGAAGTAATATAAGAATCTAAATAACTATTTTTGAAGAAACATTGACCATTATATTATACTTATAAAAAGTTATGCACAAGCACACTTTATTTAGAACAATGAAAAAGGACATATTCGTAAGTTCATATAATTTTCTCAGGAAAGCAAAATTTTCTTGTGTTTTTTGGAGGACAAATTTATAAGAGAATTAGGTGTTCATGGAAAGTTACTTTCCTTCAAACTTTTCCTTTTCTTGCTATCCAAATTCTTAAAATGTTAAAAAGTTTTCTATTTCTTTTCCTTTCCCGCTATTTCCATCTAACCAAACGAAGATTACGGAATTCTATATGAGGTGAGATTCCAAGATTCTTTTTCGTCATATCCTAGCATGCCATACACCCTCCATTTCATTGTTTCTCTTTTTCTTCTAAGAAGATAAAATGATTTGCTAATCCCTAATACATGTTACCAAAATCCAAATTGACAATAGACCCTTGGAAAACCACTACCTCGTCAAATTCATGCAAACATAACCAACACTCAAAAGATCAGCTACAATCAGTCAGTGGCAGAGCCACAAGGTTCAGTGGGGCCCTCACTAGAATTTCTTGTTATTTTTATTATGTATATAGATTTTTAGTTAATTAAATAAATGGCCCTGCTTAATTCTTATAAAATTATCAAAAAGACCTATTTTACCGAGTCAAAGTTCAAAAAGACCCAAGCATTTTCTGTAATGACCCGGTCTTTTTCCTCCTTTTCCTTTTTCGGTGATTTTCTTTTTTTGTCTTTTCCCTATTTCGTCTTTTTCCCGTTTATCATTTTTCCTTGCATAACCTCACTTCTTGTGCTCGGGTTTGATTCCGGTTTTACATGCATCCATGATATTTGATTTCCATGACATTTGTATTTTTACTTTTATAGAAAATACATTCTAATTGCTTACTTTTTCATAAAGGGCATGGATACATACTTTATTGTAATTATTCTTGATTTTGGAGTTTTAGTGTAATTATGTAAAATAATTATTTTTTGTCTTAGGGACCTTTTTGCAATTTAATTTGTAAGATATTTTGAAAAAGGACCTTTTTGCAATTTTTGAAAAATGTGACAAGTGTCACATCCTCATGGTGCCACTTGTTAGCAATGGGGTGGAGTGACTTGGATATGTAATCTCTTGACATTTGGAGGGTGAAGATTCACCTACTTGTTGGCCTAGGATTGGTGCATATGTTGGTTTTGATTGTTGACAAGTGTAGGCTTAAGATTAAGCCTAGGAAGGAGCATTGGATTAGTGATAAGTGTAGGCTCATGGTTTACTCTTGCATTGTGTGTGTGTGAGAGGTAGTGTAAGAGCACATAGTGAGTGGAGGATTACTAGACCCTCCACTCACTATTTTCACCTTCATCCTCTTCATTTTCACTTGTTCTTCAAAACTCTAACCAATCCACCATTAGAGGAAAGCTTAGTTTAGAGCTTCTTGGTTCATTTTGACTCCCTTCCACTCACCTTAAACAAAAAACCTTGGGAAAGAAAAGTTTACCCTCACTCTCCTCTTCATTAACCCTAAACTTGTTTTCCATTTTGAGCTTGGTTGCTTGGATTATAGAGATTCAATTCTCTATTGAGGTGAGGATGGTAGTATGTTTATATTTGAAGTGTTTTATAATCCTTGGGGTTTAATATATATTGTATACATGCTTTTAATATGATAGTCTTGCATATTATAGGAAACCCTCACATCTTGACTTAGGGTTTATTGATTTAAGCATGTATGATATGTATAAACCATGTATAGAAGGATTATATACTTTAGTAGTATGCTAAATTCTTGTATTTTCACATGTAGTGATGATATAGAACTCTTGTAGAATTATTAATATTATATGCAAATTCTATTGGCTTGAATTGCTATATTGTTGTGATAATAATTCTATATTCTTGTGGATTACTAATTGTAATTATCATAGAAGCTTATTGCTTTAAATGTTGATATTTAGTGTTTAAAGCTTATTGTTGAGGCATGATTGAAATTGATAAGTTAGTGGTATTGTATTGTGCATAATATCATGATGATGACTTGTCATTTAGTATGTCAATCTAGACTTGGAACCCTAAGACATGGTTTGTGTGGTTTCAAAGTACTTGTGCTTGTAACGTGGTTGATATGCCTTATTATCCATGTATAGGTCTTGAACTTGATATATTTTGAATTCTCTTGGAACATTGTTAAAGTGACATGGCTAAAGTTTGGCTTTAGTGCGGGAGGTATGAGTTCTCCCCAATTGAGATAGTGCACACTAGGGTGGTCTTCCCAGCGGGTTAATGCCCGGAATAACCATTTTGATCTTGGTTTAGTCCGAGACGTCTTGTCCAAGTCTTCCACTAATTGATTTCGCATTAAATTCCAAGTTGGCAACCAATGTTTAATTGTAACTTGTAATTCTTGTTATTGGCGAATTGATGTTGTTAAGTACGTTGATGATAATGTGTTGTTAAAGAATCATTTAAGTTAGCTTAAGATGATCCCTTAGAACACCTTAAACATAGACGTTAAGTGGACTGATCCCTTGTATTCGTCTATATTGATCTTACAATGATATTGAAACTTTAGGGTATATGCATATACTTCTTCCTACGAGTAACTTGATTACTCACCCTAGTGGTTTGGGTTGCTTTTCAGGTAAAGAGACTATGTTCTTGGATGCTCATCATCCTTAGAGGCTTATGAGCTATTTGAAGCATTTTTGTGTATTGACATACAAGTGTTTAGCATGTCTTTCTTTTGATGTCACATTTTGTATACCATGGGTGTATGGTACTTTAGAAGCTTATGTAGCTTTCTTGATGTGTAATGATACTTTAATATCTATTTTTGACATTATAAGCATGTATGTAAAGAGGCCAAGGGTCAAGCATGTGTACTTTTGTACTTGTACTCTTTTGGTATCAAACTTTTGCTTCAAAATGTATTTGAACTAATTTTGGAGGTTTGACATACCAAAATCTTGTAATTGATATGTATGAGGCCATGGCCATTGTTTTACATTCAAATATTCATATCAAAGTTGTTGACATGTTCACATACTCAAATATCATTGAAAAATCAGTTTTCAACCTTCATTTTGAACCAAATTGTCATGGGATTCAAAGTATAGGTTGAACCTTAGCACCTTTGGCACTTAGCAGGTTTTCCAGTAGCATTTCGTGGTGTTTCGGTCGACCGAAACTCCATTTCGGTCGACCGATGGTAAATGGAATCATTAACGCACAGTAATTCATCATTCCAGTAGCCAATTCTACTGTTTAGGGCCTATTTCGGTCGACCGAAACTTTACCGAAACAACTAGCACTTAAATCCATGTTTTCAGCAAAATTTTTGGTCATTTCGGTTGACCTAAATAGCTTTCATACTCCAGCTTCTTTAGTTCAGTTTCAGCACTGCTATTCCGACTTTGAATGGCCATATCTCCTTCATTTCTTATCCAAATGGGGTGATTCTTGAGCCTAAATTCATGGATTTTGAGTCAGCTTTCCAATGGTACCAATGGCATTCTTAGATTCCAATTACAGTGGGAGTTATTCATGTTTTAGTGAGGTAGTGTCAGTTTTTGCTTAAATCGAAAAAAGGGCATTTTGCGGGATTCTTCGCCAATGTTCTTAAAACCTCTTGGAATGTTGGGAAATGATAAGATTAGGTTGCATTCACCTTATTTGACTTGTTTAGAGTCAATTTTCTCCTTTTAATTGTGAATTGACCATTTTGCCCTTTATTGACGAATTTTACCCGTTTTAGCTCTAGTTTCCTCTTTTGCTCACTTTAACTTCCGTGACCTCATGGAATGTCACATTGATGTCTTAGAGATGGTTTTTATCTCAAGGGACTATGGTTTCATCATTTGCTTCCGCATTTCGGATCCGTTATCGGATCAACTTTCGGGTCATCACTGACGCACTGGGTTGAAAAACTTGGGCCATCACATTTTCTCTTTTGCTGGACCTCACAATATTTTTTTGAAAAGAATTATAATCATTAGAAAGAGAGTTCAATTCTCATCTCTGAGACCAAAAACAGAGAGAGGATGAGGAGGTTCTTTCCACAAACAGCGACAATATAATAATAGGTGTATGAATCAGGTTAATTAATTCGTTTTTCGATTGTCTTTGATTATTACTTGATTAGCCAAGAACTAATTTGAGAAGTTAATTAGCATTTTGATTATTTTAGCAAATTTATGAGACTTTTATTAGATAAAAAAATATAAAAGAAAATTTACTGATAAAAAGATTAATGGATACATATATTATTTTACTTATCTTTTAGAATGAAATATGATGTTATGGAACTATGCTACTATCTTGGATTTAAGATAACTATGGTATTTTATCAGTCATCCATCAAATGTGAATTTTTTAAGTTGATTTGATTATATGAACTAAATTTTTAAACAGTAACAGGAAATATATAGACCATCGATATTTTAATTTTTGTATTTACTTTTTTGGTTTAAATTTTTATAGTATTATTGTCAAAGGTTGCCCCCACTCAAGCAAAATCCTGGCTGGAGTCACCTCTTCACAAATGCTACAATATAATACAAAGGCAAATCAAATATTGTTGTGATTGTGAGGTTATGGGTTTCCTTTGTTTAACTTATTAAAGTCAACAGTTCAAATATCACCACTATTTCTATTGAACCACTAATGAGTATTTTTATTGTGCTGTAAATCAACCAAGCAAGTCATTAGCGGTTAAAGATTAAGTTTTACATGATCAATTATAAACATGTTTGCTTTCAGAAATATAAACACTCGACATATAGAATTGAAGCCTTCATATATGCCACAAAAAAACGCCCTCTTCATATACAGATAACATGTCAAACTCGAAATTAAATCTTAAAGAGGAAAGAAAAGAAGTACGCGAAGTGGAAGAGGAACTTACGAGATGAGAAGGATTCAGCTTCGAAGTCAGTGAAGATTCAACCTCTTCCCTCGTCACCCCCATTCTCGCTCCCCCCTCTCTCTCTCTCTCTCTCTCTCTCTCCGTCTCTAGAACTGTCCAAGGAGAGTGCTAATTTGGGTGGTCGGTCTGGAGTGCCAATCAAGATCCTCCCCTATCCCAATTTTAGTATTTTGTCCTCAAGTGTGTTTTAAATAAAAACCACCCACTAATTTTAAATTGACTATGCAATAATTTTAGGATTGCCATATCCGCACTCCAATATCTATTCCTATCATTCCAATTTTAAAAACGCTCAACTTATAATTTTTTTCAATATCTATGTTTTATATCTAAAGAACCAATTTTTTTTTAATAAATTCCCTTATCTAATTTTTTACCAAAAAATCCCCTTCAATTATATGAAAGAGTAAAAAAGTTAATATTTTTTTACCAAATAACTCCCTCAATTATCTTTTTTTTATCAAAGAACCCCTCGACTTGTAACTTTTTTTCAATAAATCCCCTTGTCTAATTTTTTTACTAAAGAACCCCCCTCAACTATATGAAATGGTAAAAGAGTTGATATTTGGACCAAAATGCCCTTTTATTTAAATTTTAATTCTTCCGAACTTCTAAAATTCATATCTCACAAGTCATATATTTAAAAATTGTAAATAATATATGCACGGAAAGCGTATGAAATAAGGATTTCAGAAGTATAAGATTTATACAACAAATCTTCATCACCAAAGAGAAATTGGCAATCTAAAAATCTACTCAAATAATCTTATTTTATTTTTATTTGCAAGAAAATTTTCAAAATTATTCATTTACAATTCTTGGGGTTCAAGATCAATTAGGGCATTATTGATATATACATATATATAGGTATAGTGAGCTGGGCACTACATGCTTATCAAGGTGAGTTAGCAAGGGGTAAAAAGGTATTGTGTAATGACCCGAACCCGTGTGTCTGAACTGTAAACCAGGTCCTTACTCGAACCCGAGGTCACCTAAGTCAAAACTCCATCATGTCTAGGGTCAACCCATCGTCATTAAGTCTTAAATGAGCTTCAAGAAGAATTTAAATCAACTTTCTATGATTTGAGGTTAAAATGAACCAAGGAAGGAACAATGAGACAAAAGAAGCTCCATTTCGGTCGACCGAAATGGGGTTTCGGTCGGCTGAAATGGCCTCTGAGATGTCCCCTGAACCGGTCGACCGAAATCCCCTTTTCGGTTGGCCGAAATGCAAAGTCCCGAGGCTATGAAAAGAAACGGTCGACAGAAGTACCATTTCGGTCGGCTGAAATGACTCTATGAACACTAGTTCAGCTACTGGATTGTTGAAACTGTGTAAATGAAGAAGAATCATAATAAGGGCTATGAAAGTGCTCTAAACTTAATCCCATTGCATTGAAAGAAATGTCATATTACACTCCATGATCATATACAAAATAATATTGATTCCTTCATTTACATAAGGATTATACATAGTCTTAATAATTAGTTCAATTTACAACAGAGTGGAGGCTTAAAGTTATAATACAAAACCATACTAAACAAGTTTAATACATTCATGTCATGGTGCTATACAAAAACGAGCTCAATTATACAAAATGCTTGCAAAATACACTCCTAGTCCCTTCATGCCTGTGGTGGATTGTCATCCGCCACCTCCTTTTCGTAACCTGAAAAATGTTAATATAAGGGATGAGCAAATTGCTCAGTAGGTAGTGCTTAAGGCACACCTTTTGAGACCTCGTGAATTCATACAATGAATAGAAATACAAAAATTGGGATCATACCATGCCAAGGAAAAAATAACCACAATAGCAATATCAACCACCCAAGTTATGAATGAATATGTCGTGAAATGGGATGCAAGGTCATGCAATGTCGCTCCCCATTTCCAAAACCATTTCCATCATCATTTCCAAACTGTTAATGCACCCCGTCCTATGGTAACTCCATAGCGGCACGAGAGGAGGATTGGTTAACTGTCCCTGACCCATGGCAACTCCATGGCGTCATTTGGGGCCTAGGTAACTCAACCATGCTAAGAAAATCTCCCTAGTCCTCTCTAGGCCGCATTAACGCCGCGGTCCCTAGGCAACTCCCAGGCGGCCGGGTTTTCACAAACCCTTTCAAAGCTTCTTTTCCTAAAAACCCCACTTTTATTTCTTTCAAAACGACTTCTCATTTATTTCCTAATGCTCATGCATGTATGCTTCATGCTTCACAATTCCATACATGAATGTACCATGCTAATGTTCATTATTTTACAATTACTTCAAGCTTAAAACACATAGCATGCTTTCAAGAATTTTCACAAAAGTTACAACATGTTTTCATTCAATGATAGTTTAACATAGTAAGCATATACAACATAAATTTTAGTCCATACAAGCATGTTCAATCACAACATATCACTTAGCACATAATCACACCTTCCATATACAATGTTTAATCAATTTTGCAAGAAATTTAAACAAATTAAGCATGGTTAATAACAATTATACACAATATACAAAGATGATTCACAAAAATTCAAGAAATTATGAATTAAACACCCCTACCTCCAAAGATGCAAAAACCTCCCAAAATGAACCCAAATTCGGAATTCCTAGGTTGCACCAAAGTTAAAATTGCTTATATCAACTTGAAGATCTCGCCAAGCTCTTCGATTTACCGCAAACGGCACCTAAAAATTCCCACAAATGAGGAAGAAATGAAAGCTTGAATTTATGGAAGAAAAGAAAAAGAAAAAGAAAAGAAAAGAGAGGAGAAGAGGATACTGTAGGGAAGAGAGAAAATGGGACCAAAAATGTAGTCTCTCGACCTTTAAGTGAATTAGTACAGGGTCCCACCACTAAAAAAAAATCTCATTCTTTTGACTTTTCTTTCTTTTTTCCACCACACACCCATATATGCATATTAACCATACAAATACCACATAAAATACATCAAATAAAATAAATGATATGCAAATGGAACCAACCGACATCCCCGTACGCGACAATTTTGGTAGCGAGTCCCATACGAGACCGTTCGGCCCGAAAAACGAAAAAATGCCGAAATGACAACCGTTACATTTTCAAGAGTCCTGAACTCAATGGAATGCCCCAACCAACTCTTTGACACACCCGGCACACCCCACGGTGCCCGGCAAGCAAAACGTGAAAAGACGAAAATGCCCCCGTATAATTCAGAAAACTCCGGAAAAATAAAAAATGGTAAAAATTAGAAACATCAGATATTGTCACCATGATAATGTCAGAAATTACTCTCTTCACTGATTGGAGGACCTTAGCTTATTCTTATCCATTGTTTTAGGGCTGCATCAGCAAAGGACTTGAGTATAAATACAATGTTATTATTGTTTGCTAGGTTAAGGCCTGAGAATACAATTCTATATTAGTTAGAGGTTGTTCTTGAGTGAAAAAGTAAGGGACATTTGATGAGAGGCTAAATGAGTATTTATGAGTATTAATTCAACTATGTAAGCTCATGTTAATCTCAGAAATTACTTTATGTGAATGTTCTCTTGAAGACCTGCAAAGGACTGGTGTAACTGATGCAATAATGTTGTTGTTGAGGCTGGATTGAGGGGTCAAATCTAATTCTAGAGGTTTCAGGTGCTGAGTGAAGGTTGAGCAAGTCTAATACACTTATTTACATCTGCAGAAATAGGTATTATCACAATACATACAATTGCAGATATATTACCTTAGAGCTTGATATTTGAGTATTTTGTGATGAAATAGCTGTTGTGCTGAACTATCTTGATTTAACTTGCTATGAACCTTATGTATAACTTCTAAGCATGTTTGACTTGATGACGAGACGCTATTGAAGTTGGATTTATTTCAGAATATTGGCTATCTGTTGTCTTAACCTTGAGAACTACACCAAGCTAGGGTTTCTAACCTAAATAACTGCAGAGTGAACACTGAGTTTAGTATATCATGTTTCTATCACTATGACTCATATTTGAACATAAGTGTAATGCTTATCCAAGATTGTGAGAACCTATACAAGGTCTGAGTAATGTTAAAATTCTAGTTTTACCCTCAGAATTATGTTGCTATTGGTATAAGCATAATCTAGCCTACTGTGGTTTGTTATCTTTTGAAACATGTATTGAACTACACTATCTTGCTTGGTTCATCAATCTAATATGTTGAGCAAGTGCATTGTAATGTTTAGGAGCTGAGATTGCTGAGGTTTAAGCTGAACAAAGTTACTTCAGTGTTTAAGTATAGCTATTACTACCGGCTGAAGTTTATACACAAGAAATAGTCTGATTTGGGTTAACATTGTTATATCTTACTTTGATAAATGTATTCATCATTTGAGCAAGTGTGTACTGAGATTATAAAGCTGTGAAGACAGAGAAAGGGTTCCTGGAGAAGATTCTCTGTAAGTTGACAGATATACCCTCAGAATTGAGTAAAAAGTCTAATTGAGTTGAAGGTTGTGATAAGCTTGTTGTTCACTGTCAAATATTGATTTGAGCAAGTTTGTTGAGTTGAGTCAAGACTGTGGAAACCTAGTGTGAGCCATCATTGAAGCTGCATTGAAGATTCACTATTATAACCCATTGATTGCAGAGTAGTGTAACCTACTCATACCAATTCACCCCCTCCCTTTTTTAGTCTAACATAGCTATTGCATGAGTTTAGCTAGGGATGTATTGATTATTGGTTCTTTGATCGGGTTGTAGTAGAGAGGGCTGTGTGTGGGTATGACCCACTATTTATTTTTCAAGTCCACGCCAATACCAAATTTAGAGGTTGTTCGGGCAGATCAAAGACCAGTTATATTCACTCTATCGGATTTTTGATGTAGGACATAATCTCAGTTTATGTTTATTGTTTAGACTCAGTTGTTTAGACTTTATTATTATTTCAGTTTTGGGTTTTATTTAGTGTCCAAGATTTACGGATTCCCTAGTTGTACTTTAGAGGATTTTCATCTATGGATTTATTGGAGTTTTGGTATTAGAGGAGTTAAGGATTATTAATTATTATTTTAGTTTTCCTTTTCAACATTATTATTTATCCATTTGTATTTTGTGCTTGTTTTATATATTAATTATTTGATATCACCCGATCTTTGGGCGAGGACCTGATCAACCCGAGCTCAGAAATTGGGGGGTAT